ATTAAAATGTGTTCAAAACCAAACTCATCATCTTCCAGTCCACCTCTCTTCAAGAAATGACAAGCATCCTCAGGGTTACAATAAGGTTTTAGTTGTGTAATTTTGAATATGTGCTAGACATTTATAAATACAGTGCTAGACATCACATTTCCATTCTGCCATGGGTAGAGTTAACAACTTTCGTATTAATTTCTACTGAATTTTTATGAATTTCATTCAATATAGTTTGATAAAATTTAGATCCCCCCATATCTGCACCCCCTCTTACTAACCCTCCACCAAACACACACACACACACACACACACACACACACACACGCACACACACACACACACATATACCTGTAGCGTCAGGTTTGTATTCCAAATGCCCTTTAGTGCTTCAGTGTCTGTTCATCCACTGGAGCCTTGTCAGCCTACTGAATCTCACCCTTAAAGGAGACTGAATTCCCTCCCTCCTAGGAGGCATCAGTTGCCAATAGGTCCTCAGGTAGGGTTGGGGTTTCTTATTCACATCCCCATTCTATGTTGGGATTTTGTCTGACTTGAGCTTGCATAGAACTTGGGTGTGCTGTCACCACTGCTGTGAGTTCATATGGGTAACTGCCCAGTTGTCTGGAACACTATGTTTCTTTGTGGTCATCCACCTCCTCTACCACTTAGAACCTTTCCACCCCCTCTTCCACAATGATCTGTGAGCCTTAAGTGGGGCAGAAGTTTGATACAGGTATGATTGAATATCCTATATTCAATCATAAGCAGTCTCAAGTCTCTTATTTTTGCACATTGCCCTGCTGTGCTTTTCTCTGTTAATCACCATCTGCTATTTAAGGAAGCTTCTCTGCTGAGAGTTAAGAGATTCATTAATCCATCTCCAATCCTTAGCCTCTTTCAGTTGTAGACCTCTGAGCAGTAGCATGGATTTACCCTCTCAGCCCAAGAACCACACTGACACTTCACTTTGTCCTTCCCTATAGGATTAATCCTTGGCCTCTTTTCCTGGCTTTCTTATAATTACACTCCTATCCTGATAAGCCGATCTGCCTAGGCCATGCATCTATTCCTGACCCTGTAATGCTCCCCTTCTCTGATTCTCCAACCCCATGTAGAAATTGACATCAAAAAGATGAAAGGAGTACTTGGGAGGAAAAGAAAGGCTCTCTGAATTTGAGGCCAGCCTGGTCTACATATAAAGTTCGTCGCATGGTGAAACCCTGTCTCCAAAACAAATTTCAAATCTATATCTGACATCAAAATTTGTAGTTTTCATTCATACTGCTTAAAGTAAATTCTCAATAATTTAATCATAATGCTGTTTTAATCATTGTAATTGGATTTTTACTTTAATAAAACAAATATTTATTGTGCTAGGGCCAGAGTTACAAAGAATGATTCCAGATTCTTCATGTTAAGTAGCCTGTTGTTTATAGGAATATGTAAGCAGAGACTCTTAACAGGAGAATGATAGGGTACTTTGAGAAAAGTAGTGGCATAAGAAAAGGCCCTACATCCAACTGGAAGACTCTAGTAGATTTCAAATAATAAATAGGAATTTCCCAAGCGAGTAAGTTAGAAGAAATGTTATTCATTTTTTTTAAATGTAACATCAAGGATAAATGTGAGGAAATAGCAGTAATTTTATGTTATTCCACTGAGAGCATGGAGACAAGGTGTCCAGAGAGAAAAGCATGGGCCAGTAGACCCAGGGTCTACTGCTGTCCAGAGACTTACTAGTTTTTGTTCACTACACAGTGCGATGCCTCTGAAAATATTAAGTGGAGGAATGACATGATCTTTCTTTCCTCTTCAAAATTCATTTTGGTAAGAAAATAAAGTACTGATTGAAGAAAAATTGCATTAGAATGAGAATAAAGAAAGATTTCTATTTTTCCAGGCATGAGGAAGTAGGGTCTGGGCTAAGCAATTAGGACAGAGAGCAGTAGCACGAGGTAGTGGATGGCCAGAAAAACATGCAGTAATGTTTGCTTCTTCACGTTAATGCAGTTGCAAAACATTTCATTGTCCCCACCTTTTCAGCATATTGAAACAAGGTAAATAATAATTTTTAATTCCTGAGAGGGTTTTTCATTTACTTCCTTTAAGCACTTTTATTTTTTTTCTAATGTTTTCTTTTCACATCTGATCATACAATGAAAAATTGTGGGGCACCCTCATAAACCTTATGAATGCTTTCAACTCCATAATGAAAACATCAAAGTTAAAAGCATGTGGTTCATCCATCCAACTCTAGATGTGAATTTTTGATCTGGAATTTATTTCCAGCCAATTATAATGCAAAATTGCCATTCTTAGTCCACATTATAAGTTCTAACATCATATCATACTGCTTTAGATACAATTATTCATTTCTTTTTTTTTCTTTTCTCTTAGTTGTTCTCAAGAGTTGGGATTTATGAACTGCTTTTATTTCTATGTAGCATTCATTAAAATGTAAAAAATATCATTCAGCTTTACAAAGAAAGAGGAAATATGCGTGTGCAATATTTCCCAGAATTCCTAGAATATTCCTACATGGTATGTGGATTCATATATGCACATGCATATGCACACACATGTAAATATCTATTATATCAACATTCTGGCTTTTGATATACAGCTAACAGCACAGCAGATACTAAAGACCATTTTGACCAAACTGTCACATTAATCCTAATATCCAAAGACTTCAGTCCATCTCCCTGTAGTATACATAAAGCCATCATAGATTTCATTTGGCAACTTATTCAGATAATTTTACCTTTTGTAAATTAGAGTACACAGAATTGGAAATTTAGAACTTAAGATACTGCATCCACATCAATACCATGAAGTGGTACTTTGGCAAATTACTAACAGAGTTAACAAGCATTTCCAAAACCAACATTTTTGTACAGCATTTTATAATACCTTACTGTAAGTGAGACATTTACCTTTAAATTAGCATTGTGATAATTTGCTAGGTTTATACCAAAACAAGAGAGTACAGTCCCAAAACTGTGTAACTGCCTAACCTCATACTAACTTGTCAGCATTCTCCAGAATCTAATTTAATTGAAATAGCTTTGCCTGTGTAAACTTCTCCCTTGTTTAAATAAGATTTCACTGTTTAGTTTTGCCTTAAGTAAATTCAGCCCTTTGTTTGTCCATAAAGCATTAGATTAGACGTATAGACTAATATGAATTGCTTCCAGTCACTGCACATGAACCATGAACACTTGCCCCTGTACTAATGTGTGGTGTATTGTCATTGAAAGTCAGGCTATCTTTAGCCTGCTCTTTGAGGAAAATAAATCTTTCACAAGAAAATCTTCTATCTCCTCAGTTACTATTTTAAGATGAAAAACTGTGAAATTTATGTTTTTTAAAATTTTTTAAAAATTAGTTATTTTCAAGTTTGTTTTTATTAAATTTTGTTGTATTTCATACAGAATATCTCAAAAAATCTGAATCATCTTTGTAGCCCCATGCCCACTCCTCCTATAGCACCCCCCCCCCAGAACCCATATATTCTGTCCTGGGTGTTAAGGCCACTGTGTCAGGTCAGTGTCCTCAGACGTTTCATTCCCCAGTGCAACTCCATCCATTTGCAGTCTGCTTAGATTCCTCTAATCTATCTATCCAAACACCTGTCATTTTTTTAACGGAGCATAGGGTGGGGGTTATTTACAGAGGAGTGGGTGCCCCCCTTTTACAGCTGCAACTGGAAAGTTCACACTCAAATATAGATCCTGTGACTTCCCGACAGCTGCAGAAAATGGTCAGAGAGGTGCCTCCTGGCATTCTCAGCTCATATAGCCTTAGCCCCTCCTCCACATACCGGTAAGGTCAACTGATTTGGGTTGGAGGAGTAAGTGACTCCCCCTCAATCCCTTGATGAGTGTGGGAAGGAGGTGTGACTATAGCTTGCAGGCATAGTGGCTGGAGTACTCTTCCAGTTAACACTCCACCCCTTTGACTCTTACATTCTTTCCACCAACCTCTTCCTAAAGAGCCTTGGAGGGGGTGGTAGCTGTGGGATGATCTTGCTCTTACTTTGGCAAGACACTGAACTTTCAGGTCTCTGCATCATCAGTTTTTCATGGGCTATTGACCCATTTCAGTGGGATTCCATCTACTATAAAAACACAAACAGCAAGAAGCAAGAACAGCTAAACAGTGACTGCTATGATAACCTATAGGTGTAAACACACATGCTTGAACAGTACTTTAACAGGTACTGTCCATCTAACAAAACAATTGCAGTGGCTTACCACTAGGTTAGTCTGGTCTACAGTACCAGATGTGTATTCCACCCCTAGGAGTGGGCATTATATCCACTTGAAATTTTCCTGGTTTTACATGCACTAGATGCAAATTTATGTTTTAAATACAGCTAATAATGTTCTTGATGTATGGAGTTATATAAGCATTTGCTCACAAAGTGCACAAGTTTTCTCTTAGTTTCATTACCGAGTACCAATGGTATCTAGCTTTTTTACTATCCTAACAAAGCATAGGCATGGTGGTGCTCACCTTTAATCCCAGCACTTGGGAGGCAGAGGCAGGCAGGTCTTTGTGAGTTCAAGGCCAGCTGGGACTACAGAGAGACCCTGTCTCAAAAAAAAAAAAAAAAAAAAAAAAAAAAAACAAAAAGAAGGAAAGATATACAACACACCAACAACATAACAACTAAGAGAAGGAATGATATACCAGACACCACACACACACACACACACACACAAGTGACTAAATAAAGCTTAGTATTTGACCCTTTGTAGGGAGTGATATATGTTAAATCCTGTAGGAGATTCACTTTGTTCCCCTACTCAACTGTAGTTTAGTTTTTGGTGCCTGTTTCAAGATATATTTGTGGGGTTCTTTGTACTTATTTTTGTTTGTTTTGAAGGGGAGATTGTTTTTGCATTTGTTTTGTTCTATTCTTGTTTTAAGGCTAACATCAGATTCCCAGTGGAACAGACAAAGGTCTTGATAATGCATGTAACATGATTTTCCCTATTTAGGCAATGCTGGATGTGGCTGCAACCCAGGGCTGGCTGGTAACTGCCCTGAACATCACCAACCTGGTTCAGATGGTGATCCAAGGCCGGTGGTTGAAAGACTCTTCTCTTCTTACAATACCAAACATAGAACAGCACCATCTTCACCTTTTCAGGTCATTGTTTTGTTAATGTAATTATTTTAGTTTAAAACATATTGTTTTCTTTGAAGGGGTAGGGGTTGCTGGATCTATTCCAGTGCCTCATGCATGCTAAACTTGAGTTCTACCACTGAGCCCTGCCCCAGCCAACACCAAGAAGATCCTTTTTAGATACATATAGCCCCCACAATTTAATATGTTACCTAAAGTATTCATTCCTAGAGGTTGACAATAACCCTTTCCCAGAGGTAGGGTGACATGGCCTAATGATAAAATATCCTCGCTTGGAATTGACACTAGCCCCAAGCTGAACTGCAATTTTAACCACCTCCTTCCTAAGTCCTTTGCTATTTGTAGCACTGGGTACATTTCTATTTTAACAAAATTTCTTACAACCCTTCTTTTAAGAAGACATTAATAAAGTACTTTGTGATTGAACACAAAATAAATTGCCAGTTTCTGCCATTATACAAGAGATTTAAGGAATCTGAAATCTGTTATCAAATTAAATTTCATCTTCAAAATGTATTTGTATGTACTGGGAGCTCAGAAGTGCTTAAAAGAGGAGTTCTATATTAGCATCAAATTACTTAACCCTTAGGCGTCCTGTAATAGCATAAATATTTTAGGCAGAGAAAAAATAGCACAGCATACAAGCAAGGTTGGCAGTGTTTAAATAAAGTGTTTCTTTTACACCAATAAAGTGACACTTTGCAGCCAAAACACTGGTTCACAGTGATGCAGACAAGCAAAACAGTTTATTTGGAACTTGCCATCATGCTCCGTGTCTCCTATCAGCTTGACAACAGGTGGTAATCTATTTGAGGTGTGTAGATGCCAACAAACCTTAAGAATGGGTTGTGGTTGATAATGTGCCTAGCATGCAGAAAGCACTAGTGTCTATCCCCAGGACTACATAAACCGTTGTGGTGAACACCTGTAATCCCACACGTAGCAGGGAGAGGCAAGAAGACCAGAGGTTCAAGGCCACCCTTAGCTTATCTACATACCGAGTTCAAGGGTAGCCTGAACTACATGAGACTGTCTCAGAGAGGGAGAGGGAGAGGGCGAGAGCAAGAGCGGGCGGGGGTGGGGGGGCAGTCTGGGATGCTTGAGTCCCATGAGATGTCCCAGAAACAAATACATTCATAGAGTAAGCCAGACATGGAGCAAGTGGTGAGAAAGGAAGGCAGATATGGGTCTATGACTTTCTGAAGAGCTCTTCCCATGTATTACTAAATGTAAGAGTTGGATTTCAGCAGTAAAGAAGGCACATTAAGACTGCCCTAAACAGCACAGAAGTCTGTCATAGAAGTTACCTGAGGCCTACAAGATTCCATCCAGTTTTCCTGAAACCCTTAAGAGTGTGATATTAATGTAATTTCAACTCTATTTTCTTCTTAGCATAAGATTTAGATGGTCTGTGTTTCTGAGATCTGCCACAACTTATGCTATAAATCTGAAAGATTCCCAAAGTATACTTTAAATTTTGTGTCTCTAAAAACTTAAAATTTAAAACTTGATTATTCAAGTAATTATCTTAGAGATCTTTGCCCTTATCCATTAAAACATGCCAGGGCTCCACATTAATACTTTATCCACTTGGAAGCATTGCTTCACATTAGTACCTATATTGGTGTTTATTATTTCTTAGGAAATGGAAGCCAACTGTTAAAGTCCCACATGCTCAATCCCGAACCTCCATTGAATGCCTTCCTGAGCTGATCCATGCCTGTGAAGGGAAAGACAGTTTATTCAACTCCATGGTAGAGAAGGAGCTACAAGCATCAAAAACAAAGCAGGTATGACCATCTCTTCTATATCTCTATATCTCTTCTATCTACCAAGAATGTCTTTACTTAGAACACAGCTTTTAGTTTTTTTGGTTTTGTTTTTGTTTGTTTTTGGAGACAGGTTTTCATTATGTAGCCCTGGTTAGCCTCAAACTCACAACTCAAGCTCGTCTCACAGCTCCACTGCAGCCTTTGTTCTATGAATTCATGCTCATGCCACACAGGCCAATGAATGATCCCTGAAACACGTCTTATACCTGAGACTGTTATATCTTATGAATTGTAGTATTTTTGCTGTGCAAACAAAGTTTTCTGCCTTTATGGAAATGTCATTTAATTATGGAAATAGCAAAGACTTTTTAATATTTTCTTGACAGCGTCCCTCAGCATGTAAGTATCAAATTACTTAATTCTTTGTGCTGTATTGTATTAGTATGTTTGAATTTAGTATGTTTGAATTTTAAAATTGCTATTTGGGTTGGTGACTTGACTTTCTTTTGTTTCTTTAAGTTTTCATACATTTTTATTGTGACCTCGAAAACTCAATTCTAGACAGTTATCTTAATTAACAATTATATATTCGTAAATTGATGTATATGATGAATCAGTCTGGGTGTTTTCAAAAGCAAAACATGAAAACATTCCAAACATACATCAGAAAGTGAATGGTTTGATTCTATATGAAGTAATCCATCTATGTAAAGAATTACTTTTAGCCATTAGAAATCACACTTTATAAGAATAGTTAATAATTGGAAATATTTTATCACCTGATGGTAAGCTAAACACCTAAACAATTCAACCAATATTTAAATCCTAATGCAAAACAGGTCAGTACATCCATCTCATTGTTATGAAAATTTCCTTTCATGTTTAATTCATGATAAAAGTATTTGTATAATAAGGAATTGTTTTAAAGATACATTTCTTGATGATTTGTTATCAGTATTTGTGGTCACATAAAAATTTCTCAGCTGAAAAGGGGTCATGAGTGGAAAAAGTTTTGAGAAGCCCTGAGTTAGAACATGGGTTTTAAAATCAGATTTACCTGAGCTAAAATTCTTTGTCTCCCATTTGCCAACTGTGATTATGAACATAAAACATTTTGTGTGATTATGAAGTTCTTACAAAATTGTGCAAAATGTTGTGTAACATAGAATAAGAACTCATTAGATGATACTACATATAATGACAGTAATAGTAATTGATAGCAGTATTGACATTATTGGAAGTTGTTTCAGCATAATACTATCAAACTGGCTTCGAAAGGCCTTCTGCAACTTGTCCATCACTTGATTATATCCCCCAGGAACCCTCCAACTCCTACTCTTCAGAATAGCTTTTCTTTGTGTGTGTGTGTGTGTGTGTGTGTGTGTGTGTGTGTGTGTGTGTGCGCACGCCTGTATGTGCACTCCCCTCAATTACTTGTCTATGCCCTTCTCTTACTTTAATCATTTTGCTATTCCTAAATTGTAAGCTATTTCTTCAAACAAACTTTTTGTGGATCATAACACATACAAAAAGCTAAATTTATTTTGTAAAAAGCATAGCAGATCATCTATCCAAACAATCTTTGGGAATGCCAAAAACAAATTAATGACACCAGAAATATTTGACTCTCCAGATTTTTAAGTCTTCAGCAGTTTATCCAAATTAATAAAAACTTTCTACATAATTGAAGAAACGTATCAAGTCATGTCTCTTTTCTTTTCCAAGAGAAACTTACTTTTGAACCAGACTTGGTAAAAGTGTAACAGGTATTAATATCTGAATGTTCATTTTCTGTTGAACCCCAAATTGGCACAAATAATTATTTCAATATTCCTAATAAATGCCTACCTTTCTAACTAATTTACCATCAAAATTATGAATAAAAACAATGTATTTGAATTCAAACAGGGCTACTGTTGGCAACAACAGATTTCTCATATAACATACATTGATTTCAAGCCAAGTTTTAGATGTGATGAAAAATTAGAACATTGTTATAATTAGTTCAGGGAGAACTCAGAAGTAAACTTACTTAATTTATTTGCATAAATTGCCATTCTGTTATCTTTAAAACCAAATGCAAATTGGCTCTGTCTGATATGATGATGGTTATTTGGCTCAAAAGTGCTTCAATTTGCAGAGCAATCTGGTGTCGGCTCTGCAGTGAGACGATCCCAGGTAACATACAAATCCTGAATTATTCCAGAAATTAGTATGTTTAAAGCATCAATTTAAGTGCTAATTGCAGTAGTAATGAGAAAAAGCAGTAAGACTGTGAGATTTGCATCTCCTACCCCATCAGTATGCCTGGAACGGCTGCTGACTGGCAGAGGATTTGGTTGCTAATTAAATAATTGTATGCATGGCAATGCTCTTGCCTGATTCAATAGATGAAGATTAATCCTCAGATAAATATGTTTGGCTGATGTTGAGATGTCTTAGCAATTTCTTTAAAAATATTTCATGATATATATGTGTATGTGTATACCAAATAAATGTGTGTTTATACCATAGGCTGAAAAATAGTAATATAACATCCTACTGAAAGATTCCATAAATATAAAAGCCAGATAAGACTTTTGAGAGCTTTGGAAAGTAAAATCCAAAGTTTCTAAAAACAGAAAATATTATATGGGCAACTAATTTAATTGTGTGCATTAAAAAATAAGGTTTGCTTCATGTGATAAACGTTATTTGTATCATCTCATGAGCATAAATGCTCTACAGAAATGGTGTGTGTCTCTTCTTGACCACTTTTCATGTTGGCCAGTCTTAGAACATCAAGTGGAGCAGTTTCTCTACTCAGTAACTTCTGGTTTAGCCAAGATCTGGGCCATTATTTGTACTTGAACTACAATGTATGACATGACTATTTCAGAATCTAGTTCCAGGCATAATTTCAGATTCATAAGAAAAAGCTACAGGATTGGAGTTATAATGAAAATTGCATCGAATTCACTTTTTAAAATATTACTAAGGGATAGTCTGACTCATCAGGGCTATATCATTTCAATTACATATACTCAGGCAACACTAAAGTCATAGAAACAATCAGTTAAAGTCCATAAGGAAAACTGTGGTTATGTATTGAAGGGTCAGAGGAACCAGGTGTGATGGTGCATGCCTTTAGTCTGGGGGCAGAGGCAGGCGGGATCTCTGTGAGATGGAGGCCAGCCTGGTCTACATAGTTCTAGGTCAGCTGGGGCTACAGGAAGACCCTGTCTAAAAAAAATTTTTTTTAAAAAAGGAATAATATGAAATTGCTCATGTGATTTTTAAACTACCTTAGAAGGTACCTGATAAAGCAGCCAATATATTGTATATTAGGACATTCTCTCAATTGATAGCTAAGTTTACCACACAGTTGTAAATATTAAAATAGATGACAATTACTTTAGCACCTTACGTGATTTCCACAGAGCTAGACATTCAGTCATTCATTAACACTGTTGAACACTTGACTGTTTGAGTACTGGTTACTCACAAGATTCTTTTAGTTTAAAAGGGAAGAAAAAAAGGCAAAATATCTCCATTCAATGTGTGCTTTTTAATTAGTGTTGCCAGAATGATGAAATACTATTTATTTCTAGAAGGAACCCTAGAATTAAAGGATTCCCTAAAAATTATAGGTAGTACAGGAGTTCCCTGTGGAAATGACTTTCTTATAGAAAAAAATTTGGAATGTGAACAAAAAAAGTTATGTAAGTGTTCAATGAAAGATATTGACATCATTTTTTTCAGGTTTTCTTTATATCCCCCAAATAATGATCTATATCTTAAGAAGTCACATATAGGGCTGGAGAGATGGCTCAGTGGTTAAGAGCACTGACTGCTCCTGCAGAGGACCCGGGTTTGATTCCCAGCACCCACATTGCAGCTACGAACCGTCCTTATCTCCAGTTCCAGGGGAATCTGAAGCCCTTTTCTGACCTCCACGGCATTGTACAACACGGGTGCACTCACATACATGCAAACAATACACTCATACACATAAAATAAAAATAATAAAAAGAAGTCACATATAATAGTGAATAGACACATCTCTAATACAAAACAGTTCAACAATAAACATTTTTTATCTCATTTGTCTTTTAGTAATAGCCAGTACCAGCCACTCAGTGACAGATGGGACTTACAATAAACAAATAAGTTTAGATCATGGTAAGTCCTTTTGCAGTTGATTTTAAGAGAACTGTAAGAAGATTAAAGCATGCTTTTTCCATATACACAGTTATAAGAAAAATTAGTAAAATCTTAGCATGTAGATGGATCATATCACTGGCTAGTTATAGCACTGTGGTCTAGTTTTGAAAAATGCAGTCATTTTTAAAACTTGGTAAAGTGCAAAGGATCTCTGCATTATTTCAACAACTATATTCAATACAGAATTAATCCCAGTATCTAAAAATTGACTTTTCTAAAAGTACACCATTTCTTAGTTGTTCACTACATTTCTCACTAACTATTCCTATTATGATTTTTTTTTCTTTTCTTTTTAATTCAGGCATGGAATTTTTTATCTCATTTGCCAGTGATAAATGTTAGCATAAGTGTTAAAGGCTCATGGGATGACTTAGTTGAAGGACATAATGAACGTTCCATCTCAACTCTGAGTGCAGACAAACGAGATGATAACAAATGGATCAAGTTGCATGCTGATCAGGAGTATGTGCTTCAAGTCAGTCTACAGAGGATCCACTTTGGGTTCCACAAGGTACAGTATTTGGTTTCCATTCTCAAATATTTCACACCAAGTACCAGCATGTGCCACCACACATACCTTTTTTATTACTAATGTGTTCATGTCATTCATGAATCCTGCTTTCTCAACTGGTCTTAACAGTAAAGAGTCAGTCACTTAAAATTAGTCAGTTCTTCTTATGTGCCATTTTTCAGCTTTAGAAAACCCATCCAGCTTACACAATAGTACTACATTGTCTATAGTGCTGTTCTTGAACAAACTTGTCCAACTTCTTCCTGGAGTGCCTTTGAAAGTGGAGATTCCTTGGCCCTACCCCACACTGACCAAAACAGAACTTCAGAATCTCAGTGATCTGATGCCCTACTTTGTACCCCAGAGGATTTGTAGAAACCTTAGACTCAAAAAGGCACTTCCCTAGAGGATCTCTGATGTATAGGACCTACTGTAGACTAGATGCAGATGAGGTTGTAGCTTTCCTAAGTAGCTCTGTGGATCTGAATAAGACACTAAGCTTTTTTGAGCCTCAGTTGTTACATCTGTCTGTTAATGCATTTGAGAAAATGCTGTCAGTTCCATAGAGAGCACTAGTTTTATTACCAATTTCTATACTCTTTAGCCTCTCACACCAAAATTATTTAGTCCTGGAAGAGCATGTAGTATGGGCAGAAGGGTTCTAAGTGCCATTGTGATTGAAATAATGAAGGCTTTATCTTCCTTTTAGCCTACTGGGTTCAGGCCTTGCTGATGTCAGGAGTAAGCCCTCAGAAATGAGATTACAGTGAGCTATTTTGGCCCCTCTGTTTTGACATACAAAATGGTCACTGACTTTGTATAGTTAGGAGGGCCCTGTCCCTTGAAGTTCTCCCTTATTTGATTTCTAACATGAAAATTAGGTCAGAGTGGTCAATCTCTGGGTCTTCGGAGGTTTTACTCTGAGTATTTTCCAGCTACTTAATATATATATAACCTGACTTAGAAAAATAGCAATAATCATAAACTAAGGAATTATAAAAGCAATTATAAAAATAAAGTCATAGTGGTAACAGATACTTTACTTTAATGTTCTGCTTTTAAAATAGATGTAATTGTGCTGAACAACTAAATTTTATTTCCATCTACTGCTTGTTTTACTCTGAGTATTTTCCAGCTACTTAATATATATATAACCTGACTTAGAAAAATAGCAATAATCATAAACTAAGGAATTATAAAAGCAATTATAAAAATAAAGTCATAGTGGTAACAGATACTTTACTTTAATGTTCTGCTTTTAAAATAGATGTAATTGTGCTGAACAACTAAATTTTATTTCCATCTACTGCTTTAAAAAAAAAAAAAAAACTGCTCTCTGCCCCTGAAATATGTTGAACTGCAATGAAGAGCTTATCTTTATTAATGTATTTCATATGATAAAATTATTGTCATACAAAACCACTAGCATAATCTTTGTAAAAATCAATCCCAAAATATTTATATCTAATCTTGAACTGTAATAATTAATATATGTTACAAATTGCTGGGCTTAAAATTTCCCATTCCTTGGAGAAAAGGGCTGTGGGCTTCCTTCTCACACAGTCTCTGTGTGAGCCTGGAACTTGCTGGTATAGCCCTTTCCCCTTTTATGGAATCACTTAAGGGGCACTGGTGTTAGTTCTTCTTTAAAGGTCTGGTAGCATTAAGCAGCAAATCCATCTTAGCTTGGCCTTTGTGGGGTTGGCAGTCTTTTTAACACTGCCTGTGTCTCATTACTTGTTATAGGTCTGTTTAAATTCTTTATGTTCTCTTGGTTTAATCTTTAGTAGGTCACACACATTTAGAATATTATCCAGACTGGCCCCTGGTCCACTTCTTGTGGACTTTCTAACTTGTTGAAATCTGGATTTTCAAAGTATGCCTAAGGAGCCTATGAATTGCACTGTTCTCTATTGCAAGGTCTCCCTTTTCACCTCTAGTTTTATTAACTTGTTTCTTCTCTCACTTTTGCCTAGTCTGTGTGAGAGTTTGTCAGTTTGTCTTCATTTTCAGAGAACCAACTCTGTTTCATTGACCCTTTGTTTTAGTTTTGTTTTTGCTTTTGTTGGTTTTTTTTGCTTCTATCTCACTAATTTCTCCCTTGATCATTATTATTTCTTTCCATATACTGTTTTAGGGTTTTGGCTTCTTGTGTTTCTAAGACCTTGAGGTGCTTTATTAAATTATTTACTTATGATTTCTATGATTGTTTAATGTGGTCGTTTATAACTGTAAACTTCCCTCTTAGAACCACTTTCATTGTGTCCCACAGGTTCTAGTATGTTGTACTTTCATTTCATCAAAATGGAATTTTTTAATTTCCCTCATCACTTTTTCATCATTCAGTGGTATGTTGTTCAATGTCTGTTAGTTTCTTTACATTCTTCAGTTTTTCTAATTATTTATTAGTAGTTTTACTCTCCTGTGATCATATAGGTTATAAGAAATTAGTTCAGTTTTCTTTAACAGGTCTCTTCTGTCTGGCACTGTGGTCCCTGCCAAGCATTAATGTTCAGACACTCTATGTGCATTTCTCATATAGGTTTCTAGGGCATCACTTTTCCCTCTAGGCTTCCTAGACCCCCCGAGATTCACTCATCTCTACTCTTTTTTCTCCCATCTGGCTTCCCTCCTCTCTCCCTCCCTAGTCTCAGTGTCCTGATTATCTCCACCCTCCCCCCAATACCTTCTGACTCCCACCATCTTTCCTCTCCTGACTTCCCTCACTTCCCCCACACCATGGTCCCTTGCATGTCCCTCTCTCCTCTCCTCCCTGTCAGTCACTCCCACTTTTTCTAGGGAGATGTTACCTCCCTCAGGTAACATCTGTTCCCTACTATCCTCCCCCTTTCAGGTTGTTTCTTTACCTTTACCTCCATGTATCCTTTCCCTTTCCCTGGCTCCTGCTGTCACATCAGAATTTATACACTCATATAAAAGAGATTGGTGCTACAGTCCACAAATGAGGGAGAACATGTGTTGCTTATTTTTCTGTGCTTGTGTTTCTTCACTTAGTATAACTCTCTCTAGCTCCATCCATTTACCTGAAAATTTCATAATTTCAACTTTTCTTACTGCTTAGAACTCCAGTGAGTAGATGTATCACATTTTCATTAACCATTTGTCAGTTGATGGACATTTAGGTTGTTTCCATTGCTTAGCTATTGTGAAGAGAGCAGCGACAAACATGGATGTACAGGTATCTCTACACTGTGATTGATGAGTCCTTTGGGTACATGCCAAGGAATGATATCATTGGATCATATGGTAGGTTCATTTTTAGTATTTTGTTGGTTCTACACACTGCTTTCCATAGTGGTTGCATGAGTTTGCATTCCAACCAGCAGTGAATGAGTGAGTGATCTTCTTTCTCCACATCCTCTCCAGCATTTGGAGTCTTTCATTCTGTAGATCTTTGCCAATCTGACTGGAGTAAGATGAAATCTTAAAGTGGTTTTTGTCTGCTTTCTTTAATTACTAAGGATGTTGAGCACTTTTTAAGGTGCTTCTTAGCCATTTTTATTTCTTTACTTGAGAACGCTCTGTTTAGGTCTATTGCCCATCTTTTTATTGGGTTGTTTATTTTCTTATTTCTTCTTTGAGTTTTGTATATTCTGGATATTAATCCTGTTGGATGTGTAGCTGGTGAAGATTTTCTCCCACTCAGTGGGTTTCCTCTTCCCTTCCTTGTTTGTTTCTTTTGTTGTACCAAAACTTTCTAAATTAATGAGGTCCAACTTACTGATTGTTGGCCTTAGTGCCTGAGCAGCTGGTGTCTGATTTGGAAAGTTCTTTCCTACACCTACATCTTGGAGGGTGCTGCCTGTGTTTTCTTCTAGCAGTTTCCAAGTTTCAGTTTTATATTGAGGTCTTTGATCCATTTGGAGTTGACTTTTAGTGCAGGGTGAAAGAAAAGGGTTAAGGTTCATTCTTCTGCAGGTGGAGATCCAGTTTTGCCCACACCATTTGTTGAAGATGCTGTCTTTCCTCCATTGTGTGTTCTTAACACCCTTGTCGAATATCAAGTGGCTGAAATCATATGAACTTATGTTTGGGTCTTCTATTGTGTTCCATTGATCTACGTGTCTATTTTTATGCTAGTACCATGCTGTTTTTATGACTATAGCTCTGTAATATAATCTGAGATCTGGTATGGCAATCCCCCCAGTGTTGTTCTTTTTACCGAAGATTTTTTTGGCTATCTGAGGTCTTTCGTGATTCCATATGAATTTTAGGATTTTGTCAACCTCTGTAGAGAATGTCATGTGTACTTTGATTGGGATTGCATTGAATCTGTAATTTGCTTTTGGTAAGATGGTCATTTTCACAATGTTAATTCTACCAATCCATGAGCATAGGAGGCCTTTCCATCTCCTAGTGTCTTCCTCTATCTCTTTCTTTAGAGTTTTGAAATTTTCATTGTAGAGATCTTTAATGTCTGATTTCGTTTATTCCTTTTTTTTTTCTTTTTGAGGCTATTGAGAATGGGAGGGTTTCCTCAAGTACTTTTTCTGATTGCTTGTTATTGATATATAGAAAAGCTACTGATTTTTGTAAGTTGATTTTGTATTCTGCCACTTTACTATCTGCAAATAGGGATAACGACCTCTTCTTTCCCAATTAGTATTCATTTAATTTCCTTCTCTTGTCTTATTGCTCTTGCAAGAGTTTCAAGCACTGTACTGAAAAGGAGTGGAGATAGTGGACAGCTCTGTGTGGTTCCTGATTTTAATGGGAATACTTCCAGTTTTCTCCATTTAGGATCATGTTGACTATTGTTGTATATAGCTTTAATTATGATGCCATATGTTCCCTCCAGACAAATTCCTTCTAGGACTTTTAACATGAATACATGTTGGATTTTGTCAAGTGCCTTTTCTGCATGACCGTGTGGTTTTTTTTTGTCTTTAAGCCCACTTATATATTTTATTATATTTATTGACTTACGTATGTTGAACCATCCTTGCGTCTCTGGAATAAAGCCAACTTGATCATGGTGG